TTTGCTGGTGAAATGACTCCCCTGACTGTTATTGACTGAATGGTTTCAGATATTCTCTAATGTAATCAAGAGCAGAATTTAATCTGTTATTTCTAATGTTACGTATGGTGCACAGGAAGCATCAAACATAACATTAACTGTGCATCACTGTTCCTATTATTCTGTGGAAGTCTACTCCAGGCAGCAGTCTTGTAGATCATGGGATCACAGAGAAGAAGGGCTGGAAGGGACCTCCAGAGGTCATCTAATCCAACCCCCTGCCTGAAGCGGGTTCATCCCTATCCAAGCCATCCTATACGAATCCAATCTAACCTCTTAGTAAAACTACAGTCAGCCCTGATACAACACAAGACACAACACCTTAACCTGGTACAGGTAAGGCAGGGGGACCATGGCAGCCAACATCCTGTGTCTGTAAAAAGTTGTTAATTTATAAGACAGAGGAAGGCAAACCCCCACCACAGTCCACACCGATACAGTCCACACCAATCTGACCGGGGGGGGAATTCCTTCCTGACCCTAAATATGGTGATTGATCTGACCCTGAGTGGAGGGGCAAGACCCTCCAGCTGTGGTCCCAGCAGGAGCATTGGCATACCCCAGTCGAACTCCTCAGCCTTGGCTGCAGCAAACACCCAATACGTCTGAGAAAGCTTTAAAAGAACAAAAACCCTGACACCTATAGCAGCAAGGTGGGGGGCGGGGGAACACTAAAATTCCCTCCCAGGCCCATGTAGCAACCAGCAAAGCCCAGATCTAACTTCTTTGTTACTGTAATGAGGGGCACCATAGAAAAGTCCTAGACAAAGGCTCCTGTGGTCCACAAGAAGTTGGACTCACCTTCTGCAATGGAGTCCCCTGCTTCCTTGGTACAGTGGACTGGAGATTCTGCTGCATCTTCAATTATTTTTTAAAAGTGAGTTTTTAAAAAATGGAGTGCATAGCCATTCCTGAAGACCCTGTGCATTAGCACCTTGATCTCTTATTCAGTCAGTTTAATACCATTGCCACATGGCAATATATTGGAAACAGAAAGATGGGTAACAAGATTTCCCGAGTGCAGCAAGCGGGAAACTGGCAAGTCAGAAATATTTTCCCCATCTCATTCTCTGTAGTTAATACACATGGCAGTATATATGGGTGGAGGCAGCACTGATTGGCTGACCAAGGTAAAAGTGGCAAGGCTTTGCATTATATTAATTTCTCCTGAGCAGCAAACATTTCTGAAGAGGATATTCAATTCAGTCAGGAGCCCAGGGCTGCATGGCCCCAGAGGAAACCATATCACAAGGAAGCTGTGCAGGTGCCTTTGGCCTCCCCACACCAGATCCATGGTGCAAGTCCAGCCTATTCCCCCAGTGAAACGATGCCAGGGAGACCCCAGGAACAGGGTTTTGGGATGTTCCACCCTCTACTTGAGGACAATTGATGTCCAGGAGGAAGTTTCCCAAAAGTGGGAATGGGTCTGAGTTTCTATGGATACATCATTCAGCCAACAGATTCTCCCAGTCACCTCCTCCATCTACGTGGCAGTTTGATTTCTTCTTTTTAATCCATTTGATTTCTTTTTTGTGAGTTGTACTATTGACTGTTTTTAATTAACAAAGTTTTGGCTAAAACTGTTGTTTTTTTTCTGATCCAAATCATCTGAAAAAAAAAAGCAAAGCTCCAGCCAACCCATTCAGGTCAACCCCCTGTGCTAGATAAACTGATTGGCTTTAGTAATACTGGTCTCAAAGAATGGGTCACAGTAAATAACATTAAAAATGGTTGGGAGAATGCCGGCGCTCAGGATTAAGAGGAGTAGTTGTAATTCCTGCAGGATAAAGTATAATAAGGAAGTAAAATGCTTTAATCCCCCACAAATTTGTCTAACATTTAATCTGGCTACTGACCACATGACATTGCCTTTCTCCAGCAGCCTCAATTGGATTGTAATGCAACTAATTTGGACTACAGTTAGGAGGCAGGAGGCAGACAGCACCAGCAATTCAGTTTATTTCCCTATCTGAAAGCTTCAGCCCATATGTGTGGCTCATATTCAGAGCAGGATACAAATCCTCAATGCAAATCCATCCTTGCAGATTAGTTTTTAGCAATTACAGCAGTAACACTTTAGACTTTGACAACACCTCCCCACTGGTCGTTTCACATCACAAAGCACACGCAAACATATTACAGAGCATCTTTAACAGCCTGAAGTCAGAATCCCTCTACGGAGGGCAAGAATTAGGGGGTGGAGGTTTCATTAGAGGTCTTTCCTCTCATTACCGTAGGCTTTCCCAGATCCCTCTTCAGCCAGGTGTTCTTTAACTCAGCCAGGCACTTGGAGCTCTAACAGGAGTTGGTGTCTGCATCTGTCTGTGTGTTGCTTTGACTGGAGCTTGATAGTTGAACACAGAGAATCACCACTATTATGGCAGACAGAGATGTGAATAGACTGAATACTAAATCTTATTGTTTATACTCTACATTGTCATTACTAGCAGTGAAAACTCAGAGAAGACAGCAGCACAGCATTTACAGCCACAGCCATTGCTCACAGACAACTACTGTATACAGTGGCTAAGTCAGTTAGGAATTGTCTTAGGTTAACTCATCCTGAAACAAAAAGAATATGTCCCTGTAGTTGGCTGCACTGATATAACTGAATCACTTATTAAACCAATTTAGGTCATTTTTTGGTACAATTTTCTCAGATAAAACTTCCCTGTTTTGACAGAGTCCTTGAGAATGTGGCACTGATCTGGACAGGGCCTCTGCATTGCTCTAATACCAATCATAAAATACTGATAATCATGGGAAAAGGGAATACAGGCCAGTGTCCTTTTTCTGCTTCTGGCGCACTTGCTCTGTGCTGCAAGGTTTGGGTTCAAACACTGCAGGGGATTTTTTTAAATTGAAAATACCAGCAGCATTTCTGTCCCTCTGCAGGGGACATTCTCTATCAGTTTTCTTAAGGGCAGCTGCTTTTCTAAAGGACAAGCAGAAGTTACAGGCTTGATGAAGAAAACCCTGAGTGAGATTTATGGCCTGTGCTATTTAGCAGCACAGACAGAAGTTACATTTTTTTGCGTGATCAGCCCCCTGAAAGTGCTTTACAGCCATGCTGTGACACATGTGCATGGGTGCAGAGCACTTGTAAAGTGGCCAATCTCAAAATGACCGCTTCTCAAATGAGGTACCAGATGAAAATGCCCTACTTTACAGCATCTTAGAGAACTTGTGTTCCCTAGGGTAAATTTGTTGCATGATCCGGGCTGGGCTGATGCAGCCCAGCCCCGTCCCTGGGGCAGTTAGTAGGAAGGGAGAGGGAAGAGGGTAGGAGGAAGCCAGCAGCAGCGAGCTGTACACTGGGGCTTGCCCAGCCTGAGCTGGAGTGAGGGAGTGTGGATCGGAGCCCTCCACCTTGCAGCCCTCCCCAACCCCAACTCATCCAGCTCAGACCGGCCAAACCCCAGCCGGCAGCTCATTGCTGCTGGCTTCTCCCCTCTTCCCCTCCCTTTCTGCTGACAGCCTAGGAGCTCAGGGGGAAGGCTGGGGAGAGGGACAACTCCTCAGCTGGCTGCTTGTCTGCAAGCAGGCTCGATCCTCTCCCCCTTCCCCCAATCCAACACTGGTGAAGATCTGTTGAGTTGGGGGGGCGGGGGCGGCACTAACTCATGGCACTTTATGTAAAGTGAGAGTGGGGACCTGCATGTCTACCAGCACCTTAGGAGTCAGAGCAGATAAAAATCATGGGCCTTTCTTGTCCTTAGAAATCTATTAGATCTCTGCTGTGCTCTCCATTGCAGCAGTAATAAAGGATGAAACTCCTGATTAGCATGTCTGCAGATTGTTTTTCTGATTCTAGGAAAGCCTCAGGAACATATTAAGTTAAAAACCATTTGTAAGAGATTGTGCAGAATCTCTTGCCTGGTTTTTTTTAATCAGGAATCAGAGCCTCTGTTTGAAAAACCCGTAATTGGCAAAAGAGACAGGAACCGGGGCCTGCCCACTTACAGTATTAGTGGAGTTTATAGAAGCATGGTAGGAAGTAATAGTATTTTTAATTTGCACTGCTTGAGTGCATAGAGGCCCTGAGAAAGAATTTAACTGGTAGACTGGATCCCTGCTGATGCACGATAGGAACCTGATCCTGTGCTGAAGAGACAAAACTTTCCTTTCCTTCATCGTGTCCTTCTGACAAAGTATTTAGCAGAATTTACAGATTCGTTGCAATCTGAGGGCACCTATACACAAGCACGGAGGCTGCTCCAGTGCACTGGAATTCCAGCGTGTCAGAGCAGACTCGATTAATGAGTCTGCTGGAGTGTGGCAATTACTGCACTCCAGCGTTCTCCTGCGTCTCATTGAAAAATGGTGGCAGGGGTGCTTGAACTAAAACTCATTTGATGAGCTTTAGTTCAAGCACCCCTGCTGCCATTTTTAAGCGTGAGGACACTGGTACATGAGACATGTCAACACTTTAATTAGAGTGGCTCTCGAAGCCACTCTAATTAAAGTGCCATCTCCTCTCCCACACCCCTGGAGCACATGTAAAAGTGCCCTGACAGGCCATACCATGAGCACTTCTGCTATGGCCTCAATTTTGCAACGTCTGGGCTGTCAACCATGCATCTTAGTGCTTGCCCCACCCCTGCCCCCGAGATAAAACTAAGAGTGAGAGAAAGGAAGTATTATGATTCCCATTCTACAGATCAGAGACCAAACCACAGGGCAATTGAGTTGCCCCAGTTACACTGGCAGGACTAGAAACTGAACCTGGATCTCCTAAAATTCCTCCAGATATTCAATATTCTTGAAACCATTACCTTACTTCAGTGGACCTGGCTTGCCACTCTTGTGCCAGATCAGAACAGTGGTCTTTGCACCCATGGGCATTACTGTGCATGGCTATACATGACTACAGTAAGGGGAAGGAAGAACATACTGAAGTCCAGCAAGTGCAAACAGCATTTAACCTCTTACCAATGATCCTTTTATTTATTTATTTCCAGGAACATGTTTCCAGCCAACCTTGTTGAAGCCACATTCAAACAGGTAGGTGTATTTCTGTTGCCACTGATAGTAGAGAGGAGCCATCTCCAGATGATGCATATGTTAAACATTTGGAAGATACGTCATTGTGTATTGGTTCATACATGCCTAGTACCTGCAGTGGCATGGTGGGAAGCCCTCTGAGACCACTGAGCCTTTCTGTTGAATTCACTGACTTTGCATCAGGCTTGTGATGAGCAGGGCAAAGCCATTTTTCACTTTCAGTCACTCACTCTTTTGGTCAAAGGAGGCAGTAGCTGGAAAAGAACCTGTTTTGCTATGGAAGGGAGCAGGCACAAAGTCAGACTGAGGTCTTGTTTGGCAAGAGATACCTTGATGGGTTTTACATTTTTGCAAAAGCTTCTACACAGTAGCTTTAGGGACACAGCACAAACCATCTCAGGCTTGATTCTGAGAGGTGCAGTAACCATAATAGGAATGGCGAGAGCACAGCACCTATGAGCCAAGCCCTGTTGGCTCTTTTAGTACTTCCCTCAAGCTTTGACATGGATAAAAAATAGCTTCTTGGACCTGGGGCTGATTCAGATAGGGATAGGATAGACACATGGGCTCCCTAAACAGTCCATGAGGTACTTTCAAAGCATGATGCAGAGAGCCCAGACACTGTGCAGAGAGCTTTCTAAAGCTAGCTAATAGGAAACACTATGGGGGTGTCCCTTGAGCTTAGGTGCCTGACCCAAGGCCGTACATTAAGCACCTTTCTCCATTGAAGATCCAGATGGAGTCCTCTTCTGATGGTAGGCGCCAAGTGATGGCAGCAGTAGTGATGTCCACCTTTTGCTTAATTAATGCATCATCTAGGAGGCAGAAGATGGGTTCTAGACCTGCTTTGGACTCAGAGGACCTCATATTCCTCACTTCCCAGGAGAGTGACCTAATCACCAGGTCAAAGAATAGCGTGGAAGGGCACCTTCAACGTCTCCTGTGGATGGTCAGTCACAGAGCAGCCAAGAATGCAAGAATCAAGTCAGAAGCAGAGCAAAAAAAGGAAGACTGCTTCTTTAGCCAAGTGGTTATAGTGCTTGGCTGGGATTGGAATGATCCAGCTCCTAGGATTATTTCCCTATTTTATCCAATGCCTGTTTAATGGAAAATGCATAAACATCTCAAAGACCCCCTTTTCCCTCAGGGTAAATTGTTTGTATATCCATATCCTATGGTAATGCAGTGTTGTCATGGTACTGAAAAGCTGGACTGCTGATTGTTTCATGTGTTTGGTTCAGAGTTCAGTAACAGAAATGTTAGATTTTACTGATGTTAGGATTGATGTGGTGTAACAGAGACCCCGAACCCCTGTTACTTTGCAGAGGGAACAGCTCAGGGGCAGTGCTGGTGAAGAGAGGCTGCAGGAAAGTCCACAGCACAGGCTGCAGGGAGGTGGGCTTAGTCGAGAGCTCCTGGTCCTGGTCAGAGTAGAAAGGAAGGAGGCAGGGTCAAAGGGCTATATAAACCTGGCTCCAGGGCTGGGGAAACAGTCTAGCAAAGTGGTCACCAACCAGTGGATCTTGATTCACCGGTAGATCTCAGAGCCTCTTGCAGTAGATCTTGGAGCCTCTTGGAGTCGATCCAAGGCTGGGGTGGGGGACTGAGTGCCCACATGCATGCACACGCACGTGCCCCAGCCCAGCAGATCAGTCCGTGGGGAAGGGAAGGTGTGGGGACTAGATCGAGGGGTGGTGATGGACAGTGCTGCACAGGCAGGAGCAGGGGTAAGTTGAATGGGGCCCCGGCCCGGTGGGACTTCCCTAATGGGGAGGCGTGCCCCCAAATAATTTTTTATCAATCTGCCCCCCTTTTTCCCTCCCCACAGACTTACCTGCTGGGCGGGGTGGCGGGGGGTGTGGATGGTGGCAGCGCATGATAGATCTTGGGTTATTTTAAATGCCAAAGGTGATCTCCTACTTAAAAAGATTGGAGACCACTGGTCTAGCCCAAATCCTGAAGGAGCAAGGAGCTCTGCCAGACAAGAGCCTCCCAGAGCTAAACTGCTTACATCTTCTGTTTGGTGGATAGTTCTGTTTATGTGTAGGCATGAGGCACAGGAGTGGCTTCTGGGGAAAAGGCAGGCCACTCAGTGTTCGAGTGAGAGCCCTGGATAGGGCCTGAAGGAATAGGTCGGCTGCAGCGAATTAAGAACAGAAACACCCTGAACAGGATTAGAGGTTGAGGATTGGGTCAAATAGGCCACCCAGTGATGAACAGGGCAGAGCGAGGCACCTAAGGTCACACTTTGGTTTCTGAGGACAGCTTCTCAAATCTGTATTAAGCTACCATTGAAAGCACGGCGTACAGGAACAGGTCTATTCCCCGTACAGCTGGAGTGACAGAATGGGCTTAGTGTGGCCACTAGAGGGACCACAGCTGCTGTCTGGTCACGGATCCTGTTACATATGGGTCCAAATTTCAAAATTATTCATGCTGCTAAATCCAAGATTTAGGTCCTGAGTGACTTAGGCACTTCTAAAAATATTACCCCAGGTTATCTTCAAGAGTGACTAGTAGGGGACCAGAGTTAGCCCATCATGTAAATGGAGCTGTTCTAGCTGCTTTGGTACTGGCTTCCTCAGCACATGGAATCATTTGAAATGGTTTTATTGACCCTTTGCACTCACTGGGTGCGTCCAGACGAGCTTACATGTGTGGTATGCGGCACTTGAAAGCCATCTGCGGTGCCGCATATTGCACAGGCTGCACAAGCAGGCATTGCCCATGCTGCTGATTTGCAGCATGGGTTGTTTTTCTTACACTGAGAATCCTGGTGTCAAAGAAATCTGCACTAGAAAAAAGCAGGGCTGCACACATGGCAACAGCATGCATTGCCTGAAACTGGAGTCTCACCAGCCACAGCCACACTCCAACTGCCAGCTAGGCTCTCTGCTGCCGAATCGCCACTGCTGGAGCCCTGGGAAGCCCCCAGGACCCCAGGGTGGGCTGCTGAGGCCAGCCCAGGTGCTGGTCCCAGCCTCCTCTACCCCACCCAGGGCATCTTGCTGCATGCCAGAGCATGCATGCACGCACGTTTCCCGGGGACAAGTAGCAGAGACACAACTATGTGCCACTGCTATTTGTCCCCAAGAAATACAGGTGCACGCGCATCTGGATGCGCCCGTTTTAGAGATTTTGCCCCAACTTCCCATTTCTCTAGAACATGATTTTTCATTATTCCTTTGAAAATTATTCAGATGTGAGGTTCACTAAATAAATTGGCAGCAGGAATATGATGGGGGAGAATGCACCAAAAAAGAGCTGATGAAAAGCCATTACTGCCTTCTTGTAGTACAGTAGGTGGTTCTCATCCATAACTTAGGGGTGAGCCAGTCAGAGCTTGACTGGACATGAGGGCTTCACCTGACAAATTAAAATACCACTTTGGTTAGTCTATAAGATGCAAATTTACCCTGCCCACCACAATGAATGTCACAGTACCAAATTTAATCCACCTTACAATAACCAATACAAGAGGGTAGCAGGGACTGCTGTTCACATGCCTGAGGATGCAACTTAAATCAAAGAATCAAGTGCTCTTTGTGCTGTGGGGGCAAGTGGGGGATACCAGCCATTCAAACTGTCTGGCGTCTAATAATACTAATGAAGTAGGTGAAAGACTTCACGAGCCTGATTACGCAGCCCTCAGTGGGACGCTTCATGTAAGAGCTTGCCAACGTGACCGGGATTGCACAGTTGACTTGGAGTATTAGAGCTGGATGACCCTTTAACATCATTCCATGGGCTGCACTGCACTGTTACCTTCCTCTCTTAATGGGATTGCAGGTCCCACTTGTTCTTAAGAGCATAAGCAGGTGAATAGTAGGTAGCGTTAAGCCATTTATATACACTGTACATGGCTCACCAGGTGTCGTCGGCAATCGCAGACTATAAATTCCTCTGAGAGAAACAGAGAAAGAGGAGATGGCCACCCTCTGGCTTTGGCTGAGCAGGGATTTATGTCAGGGAACGCATGGGATTTATTTCTTTTTCTGGCCATCCAGACTCTCCTGTTGTCTCAGGGGAAGTTTCTTAATCTCTTTGTGCCTCAGCATGCCCATCTACACGTTGAGTATAAAAGCTAAAGACGGGTCAAGTCTTTGTATCACAAACTGTATTCTTTCAACTCTACTAAGCCTTGAATGGAGAGAGACAAACTTTCTGACTCTCCATTTAAGAAAAAAATAAAACATCAAGCCAAGAGGTGCCTGTGGTGCATATAGGAGCTTTTTTACTTTTACCCTATTTTAAGATGCAGGGATTTATATTTGGAGATTTGTGGTACAAATACAAGCATTAGAATTTGAAAACCAACCAACCTAGACTGAGGTACACAGTGCACGCTGTCCTGTGACTACAGCAATACACGGATGTGTCAGCTCCATCCTACCTTGGTGCTGGATTTCAGCCCCTCTGGCTCTCTGCACCCTCTCAGTGCCATGGCTATAGACCTGCTGCTGACCGACTCCTTCCCATCACGCTTCTAGCTGGGCTGTTTCTCACCCCCATGTCTCTTGGCTCCAGAGCTCCAGGCGACACCTATCCCTCACCTTCTGCCCACTGTTAGGATTCACAAAATACCAAATACATTATTTGATACTTAAAAAAGATGAGAAGAAAAAGTGGAGCTTGTCACTAATCCACTACTATCTGCTTCAATGGCAGGAGTGCTGTAGGGATGAATGAATACATACCTTGATCTTGTTTTTCTGCTATAGATCCCCAGGATTTGATCTGCACACGGGTAAAGATCTCTGTATAGCATTAGAGAGAGAAATGGTGCTGATAATTGTGTCATTGTGGGAGACTCTAACTCCCAAGATATATACGTTGGAGAAGAAATGCTATTAATACTAGTAGAGTTCAGTTATTCCTGGAGGTAACAGCAGACAGGTTATTATACCAGAGTCACATAACCAACAAATAGTAATGCTGTTTCAGACTTGGTTTGGTGAGTAAAGAGGACTTTGTAGAAGAGCTGGCTTTAGAAAATAACCTTGGATCAAGTGATTGTGAGCTGATTCATTTTAAATTAAATGGAAGGATAAAGACAAGGAGGGGTCCAGGTTCTCAATTTCAAAAGGCAAACTTTGAGAGCTAATTAGTGAATTAAGTTGAATGGAGGGGCTCAGGTACTTGGATGTTGGAGGGCTGGCATCTCTTTAAAAGAAAGGAACAAAAACTATCTGGAATATGTCCAGCCATCACTGAGAAATACTTGTACCTAAGTAGAGTAGCAGCCATTTAAAAAAGGATAGCCAGAGCCCACAAGAATGATAAACAGGATTTATCAGCAAAGAAATCTAAACCACAGAGGTACAGGGATAAAGTGAGAATAGCCAAAAATCAAGCTAAATTAGACCTTGCAATGGAAGGAAAAAGGTTCTTCAGCCCTGTAAGTACAAAGAGAATGAGGAAAGGAGAAATGGGGAACCTGTTATGCAATTAGGATGAGATACAGTTTAAGGATAGTCTAAGTATATCCCCCAAACTATGCTTTGCGTGAGGTTTCAGGGAAGACAGTGATGTTGAATATAGGGGTGAAAACATGAATGAGGACATGGAAAGGGAAACTAGCACAACCAGTGTGGAAACAAAACTCAAAAATCTGAATGCACTCAAGCCGGGGGGAAACAACTCCACGGGATTATCTCAGTAATAAGCAAGTGCAGTGCTCCTATTTAAAGAAGGGGGATAAATGTTAGTCTGACCTCAATAGTATTCAAGGTTTTGAAACAATATTTTAAGGAAAGAATAATGAAAACCATAGAGTTAAATAGAATGTATATGCAACATGGGATTACTGAAGGCAAGCAGTACCAAACTAAGCCAACATCCTTCTTTGATAAGATAATAGATTTCCTAGGCAAAGAAAGTGTGGCAGATCTCATCTGTCTGGAGTCAGTAGGATATGGGTGTCAAAGATAAAGCCAAAGGGCCTCCTCCAGCCCATGAAGTCCTATCCTGCAGCCTGCTGTGCCACCTATGGGTCTTGGATCAGACCTGCACAACTGGAGACCATATTTCCTCTCAAATCACACAACTGTTGTGATAATGTATTCATATTTGCAGTTGGCCCTTAGGTCCTGGGATGGAAGGCACTGTTGAAGGGCAGAGAGACATAATTAAGCCAGATGCCCACTTCTCCCACCAGTGTAGCGCTCTACTCTTCGCAGCAGGAAGTGTAGAAGTGTAGAATACCATGTCCAGTTAAAGTAACAGGAAAATTTATTTAGCCAGAATCTAATTACCCAAATTCTAATTTGGCCAGAATGCCTTATCCTAACGGCTTTGAGCAAGTTAAGTAAGTTAAGTAAGTAAGAGGGTTTAATGCTCTCTCACATGGGAAATACTGCATAGAATCCTTACCTCTCTGGGGATAAAAGAGAAGGGCTGGAATTGCCATTGGCAGAGTTATTCCTAGCTCCACACCTTAGGGAAGGGGAAACACAGGGACGCCCAGTGCCTCACAAGGGCAGTGTCTGCTGCAAAAGGGCTGTTGCAGAAGATCCTGGTTTTTGTCATGCTTTTATATAAAAACTTGGATCAAAGTGGGTTTTGCAGTCTCCTATGCAGGCGAGTGGGAGCTGTTGCTCTTCCTTCGACATGTCAACTGCTCCCTTGACCCTCCCCTGCTTTCACAAGGCACTTTGGAAAGTGCTCTTGGGACTCATTAACCCACTAGTCCCTGCTGCATCCTGTAATTATATTCTCCTATGTTCTTTCAGTACCGCACCAAGAACATCCCTATCATCAAATCCAACAAAGCAGCTTCTGAAAGCACTACTCATCGCATCATAATATATGGGGTCCAGGATGAGAATGGGTCCAACGTCCAGAACTTTGCCCTGGATATCACTCCCCCTCCAGAAGTGATTTACAAATCAGAGCCAGGCACTAGCGATGGCATGAACGTGTTGGGGATTGTGATATTCTCTGCGACTATGGGTATGTTATAATCATGCTGGACCAGGTCAGGTTCACAATAATCTGCATAGTGCTACTTTGGGGGATTGGGCTTTAAATTTGTTTTGTTTTGGGGGAGGCTGTTGGTATCCTGAAGTACTATTTACAATCTACTTTTGTCTGAACAAAAAGGTTCAGGGAAAGCAAGGAATTATCCTAGTAACAACAGACTCATCTGTGTTCATAGTCCTTGATCACATTTTTCCTTTGTTGTCTCTGATTTGTTTCTGTGTGCTGTTATGTTCCTTTTCCCTTTTAATATCACCAAGTCTTTCTATCTTGTTTGTTTTGCAATTGTGTTAGTGAGCCACTAAATTTAGGAGCTTTTTGTAGGGAGGCAGGGAGAAGTTACAGAAATGTCTGACCACTGTACTGCTTTCACTTCTAGCATCTGGACTGTGGGACACCTGAGGTTAGACGTCTGTGGTTAGACTCTGATGTGCTTAACAATGTCTCAGAAAGAAGCCCTGTGATCCAGTTAATAGATTTGCTTCTAT